GGGGACACAGGCCAATGTGGATATGTCTTCAGTGGCCTGCCTGTGTTTCAGCCCTGAGTACTCAGCTTGGCCTGCAGGGGGCTCTGTTTCAGTTTCTTGTAAACTTTATGTTCTTAGGAAAACTCCTGGCCCTGTGATTCTATGTGACAACCATGTTTCTTGGAACCCCTTGGTGCTTTGCAGAAGCGATTCTCAAGATCCTCCTAGTATCCTTGCCCTCAGGCTCACAGACAGCACCCCTCCCCCACCACAGGTCTGCAGTGCCGCTCAGATGCTGAGGACGAGTGCCGTGGGCAGGAGGCTGATGGCAAGAAGATCTGCTGGCAGGCAGCCATCTTCAAAGTGGGGGACGACTGCCGACAGGTGACAGACTGGCCTTATTTAGGCTGTCAGGGCAAGGCACTCTCCCCGAGTGACACCAAGAGCCCCTCTTGCTGGGAAACGTGACCCTTTTCTTCACTTTCTGACTCAGGTGCTGTGGCGCCATTAGAGCAAACCCAGAACCCTCCTCCCAGCCCCACCTGCGCCATTAGCGCTCAAGAAGGACAGCCTCACCCACACATCCTCTGGGCGGTTCTGTGACCCCCAACCTGGGTGGGCAGTGAGGCTGCAGCCTGCCCCTTCCCTTGCTGTGTGAGCCTCAAGGCCACTAGTTCCTGCGTGGTCCAGGGGCTGAGGGGAGGACCCTGACTGCATCCTGTGCCTTCTCCGGTCCAGGACATGTTAGCCCTGCAGATCATCGACCTCTTCAAGAACATCTTCCAGCTGGTTGGCCTGGACCTCTTTGTTTTTCCCTACCGGGTGGTAGCCACCGCCCCTGGGGTGAGTTCCCGGAGCATGACAGGCAAAGGAATCACCAACCACACCCCAGTTCCCACCTAACTGTCCCTCCTCCCCTTCCTAGTGTGGGGTGATTGAGTGCATACCGGACTGTACCTCCCGAGACCAGCTGGGCCGCCAAACTGACTTCGGCATGTATGACTACTTCACACGTCAGTATGGGGACGAGTCTACCCTGGCCTTCCAGCAGGTAGCTGGCCCCTGGGCCTCAGCTCGCTGTCCACCTCTGTCTTCCTGTTAGGAGCCCAGTCAGTGCCCCACAGCTCTCTCTTAGTGTTACAGAACTGGAGCCACAGGGTGCAGAAAGGACTGCTGCTGCACTCCACACAGCTGCACTCCCTGCTGGGAGCTCTGCCGCTGAGGTGGGGCGCAGAGTGAGACCACAGCCCTCTCCACACAGGCACGCTACAACTTCATCCGAAGCATGGCCGCCTACAGCCTCCTGCTCTTCCTGCTGCAGATCAAGGACAGGCACAACGGCAACATCATGCTGGACAAGAAGGGCCACATCATCCACATCGGTCAGCCAGGCTGTGCCACACCACTCCCCCTTTCCCTCTGTAGAGAGCAAGTGTGCCCAAAGCCCCGGGTAGACTGCTGTAGAGCGGCCAGCCCTCGGGAGCGGGAACTAGAGTGGCAGCCCACACTGTTGGTAGACAGGGAAGCTGGTGGGGTGGCTCTGCTTCCTCCCCCACTTCTGGCCATGTGTAGCCGAGTCCTTCTCTGCAGGAAATAAGCCACCCTGACCTCACTCCTGCCCCAGTTCCAGGCAGCCTTTTGGGATTTTGCAGACTTTGGCTTCATGTTTGAAAGCTCACCGGGCGGAAACCTTGGCTGGGAACCTGACATCAAGCTGACAGATGAGATGGTGATGATTATGGGGGGCAAGATGGAGGCCACACCCTTCAAGTGGTTCATGGAGATGTGTGTCCGAGGTTATCTGGCTGTGCGGTGAGCCCGTGGGCAATGTAGAAGGGCTATCAAGGTGGGAAAGAATATCCATGCCCCCTGGAGGGAATCACTGACAGACACCTGGAACTCCAGCTCCGGGATCCGCTGCCCACTCTGGCTTCTTGAGGCACCTGCACACATCCATGCATACACTCAAACACGCGGACACACATGAATTGTCTTTGGAGACATGGTCTCACTGTGTGGCTCTGGCTGTAGAGATGGCTTAGCCATCTCTTTAATAAGACAAGATTCACAACCCAAAACTTTTTGTTTGTTTTTCAAGGCAGGGTTTCTCTGTGTAACAGCACTGGTTGTCCTGGAACTCACTTGTAGACCAGGCTGGCCTCAAACTCACAGAAATCCACCTGCCTTTGCCTCCTGAGTGCTAGGACTAAAGGCGCACGCCACCACTGCCTGGTGATAAATCTTTAAAAGGTGCCTTCTAGTCACCTACATTTGTGAGCAACTTCCAACTCTGACCTGCCAGCTCCATTCTGTAGTCTCCCATGGCTGACATCCTCATCTACCAGCACCTTTCAGCCTTGGGCTCCCCTCTGGACTTCCTGGCCACCCCTTCACCGTAGCCCCAGCACCTCCAAAGCTACACGGCAGAGATCCGCATCAACTCGATGTCACATGGAGTATTACTTTGCCACATCCCACATGCTACTGTGGTTAACACCAAACAGGGCATCCTCGAAACCACAGCTGGAAGCCTGGCGTGCTGGGGACAGGGAAGGATTACATGAGCTCGGCTGAGGGAGGCGGGCAGACCGTGGGAAAGTGGCAGATGGGTCACAAGGCTGAGCCAGTGCCTGTTCAAGCTGGCCTTATCCCCACCCTTGCTGTCTCCACAGGCCTTACATGGATGCAGTCGTCTCCCTAGTCACACTCATGTTGGATACAGGCTTGCCCTGTTTCCGAGGCCAGACAATCAAGCTTTTGAAGTAGGTGCCTTTTGGGGAAGGGGCTCCACCTAGAAACCTTTTATGTACCCTTAGAACCACAAAGCAGACAGGGTTCCTGGAATAGCAAGATGGCCTTGAGCTCCCTGAGTGGCCTAGCAGTTTCTAGAAAGGGTCAGGGGCCACACTAGGCCACACCAAAAGGGACCTGGCTGGAACAGATTGCCACAAATGCCCTTTCATCTCTCCCAGACACAGGTTCAGCCCTAACATGACAGAGCGAGAAGCGGCAAACTTTATCATGAAGGTCATCCAGAGCTGTTTCCTCAGCAACAGGCAAGTCACCCGCCATTCCTGAACCTTCCCAAGGGCGAGCATGTGGGAGGGCTCCCAGGAGGTGGTCTTCACTCCCTCACTTGGCCTTTCAGGAGCCGGACCTATGACATGATCCAGTACTACCAGAACGACATCCCCTACTGATGGGCAGGCAGCTGACGCCTCGGCTGCCCCCGAGCAGCTCATACTGTTAGCATAGCCTGGGCATGGAGCTGGGACAGCCACCTGCAACTTGGGTTCCAGGGACTGACAAGCGTGTGGTGGTGCTGTGTGCACAGGTGTGAGTCTGTTTGCACTGGACACATTCCCTACTTGTTCACCTGTCTTACTACGTAGGTACATGAAGTATTTTCTTGTGTAAACTTGGAAAAAATAAAAATCCCAAAATGTGCTGCATTTGCTTTGTTAGCTAGCCTCAAGTCTGGCCTGTGGTTGAAGCTGCTCTTGAATTCCTGATCCTTCAAGTCACACCTAGCTTAAGGAGTCTGGTTTTGGTGCTGGGGATCAACCCCAGGGCCTGTGCATAGGCAACACCCACCCTTGCTGTGCAGCCCCAGGCTGTGACCACCAGGATTAATGCCTCAGGCATCTCCAAGGGGAGACTCAACCAGGCTGGCCTGTGTCTCCACATCTCTGTAGTTTGGTGGTTAAAGTTCTTGCCTGGCATGCACAAGGCCCATCTCCAACAGCTCCCAACATGAAAGTGTCAATCAGTAGATGGGAACGGACTTTGTAGGGCAAGAATGAAACAGAAATAAAAGTGAGCCTAGGGGTTGGGGATTTCGCTCAGTGGTAGAGCACTTGCCTAGCAAGCGCAAGGCCCTGGGTTCGGTCCTCAGCTCTGGGGGGGGTGGGGGGGGAGTGAGTCTAAGAGTAGTAGCCCAGGGCTGGAGAGATGCTCAGAGGTTAAGAGCACTGGCTGTTCTTGCAGAGGTCCTGAGTTCAATTCCCAGCAACCACATGGAGGCTCACAACCATCTGTAATGAGAGCTGGCGCCCTCTTCTGGCCTGCAGGCAGACATGCAGACAGAAGCCTGTACACAATAAATCAATCTTCAAAATGAAGAGGAGTAGCCCAGACCTGTGACCTCGCGCTACTCCCAGCCCTGCTTTTGGTTTGGTTTTGGTTTTGTTGTTTTTCTAGACAAAGTTTCTCTGTGTTCATAGAACTCACTCTGTAGCCCAGGCTGGCCTCGAACTCACAGAGATCTGCCTGGCTCTGCCTCCTGAGCGCTGGGATTAAAGGCGTGCGCCACCACCTGCTGGTTTTGTTTTTTTGTAAGATTATTTATGTGTATGAGTATCTGCATGTAGTTTGTGCACCCTGACCACACCTGGTGCTCGGTGAGGGGGCCAGAAGAAGGCATCAGATCCCCGGGACAGTTACAGGATGTTGTCAAACAACTGTTTTTTTTCCTGAATACTGGAAACTGAACCCAGGTCCTCTTTAAGTGCAGCAAATGGGGGCTGGAGAGATGGCTCAGTGGTTAGAGCACTGACTGTTCTTCCAGAGGACCTGGGTTCAATTCCCATCACCCATATGGCAGTCTTATATACAAGATCTGACACCCTCACACAGACACACATGCAGGCAGAACACCAATGCACATAAAATAAATAAAAATTTAAAGAAAAAAAGAGCAGCAAAATGCCCTTAACCATTAACCATCTCTCCAGCCACCCCGTTTAGTTTCCTGAGACAGTCTCCCATTTTCCGGAGCTCACTAACATGCCCATCTCTACCTCCCCAGCACTGAGGTCACTGACACCACCACCACATCCAGCTTTTTTTTACGTGGGTTCTTGGGATCAAGACAGCCGTTGCCCCAGCCAAGGAGCTGAAGACTCCAATGGATAGAACTAATAGGCTGCTGGACGCGATTAACCTTAACTACAGCAGGTGCTTTCTCTGTGTTCATCTTTATAGACTATTTTGTCGGCCATTAAGCGAGTCACCAAAAAACGTATCAGAAAAGCTGTTTATTTAAACGCCGTGGTGATAGCTCAGCACTCACAAATGTTTAGTCCAGTCCCCAGGACGGAATAAACGACACCTGGTGGATGGCTCATGCCTGCAATCCAAACACTCACGAGGGGGAGGCAGGAAGATGAGCGGTTCAAGGTCACTCAGCTATATTGAGTTCAAAGCCGGGACGGCCTACTGTGAGACCCCACCTCCAAATAAGTAGTTTGAAGCTTATATGCGTAGGGTCAAAATTCAACCCAGATTCATTTCCACTAAGCAGGACATCCCTCGTATACTACTAGCACTATCAGTGAGCTTAGATGCCGTGAGGAAGTTTGGGTTTGGCGAACTCGAACCTGCCCAGAGGGAACACCAATGTTGCGGGAGATTTGGGATAACTGCGCATCCCGGGAAAATAATCCACACACCACGGAGGGGACCTGACAGGCCACCATCCATCCTGCCCAAAGTTCAGGCTCACAATAGCAAACGACTCCCTAGGGGATCAGGCTGGCGCTCGGCAGCGAGGGCTGTAGAAAGGACAGCCTGGGCACCGGAGCAGCCCCACTGCGGACAGGTGACAAGGGGTCGCTGGGCCCATAGGAACACACGAGCTCCACCCCCGCCCTATTCACACAGGCAGGCACCCCAGAAACCACAAAGGAGACAGAGGTGTAGGCGGCCGAAGCCGGCGTGATGCTTGATCTAGGCTGGCAGCAGTCCGCGCGGGCGCAATTCAAGCAAAGGCGACAGCGTGTAGCGCAGCCGCCGGAAGACCGCGTCCGAGCCAAGACTACTCGAGAGCCCCGGGCCGACGGGGTCGGGCTTTGCCAGCGCCACGTAGAGCAGCGGCAGCGCCAGGAAGCCCAGCGGGAGCAGCAACAGCGTCTGCAGTGCACTCAGCGCCCATAGCCTAGGAACCACCAACGAACGCATGGGTGGTGGCTCCCAGACCCCGAACCCGGACCGCCGGACCCCTGCTAGCCACTCACCTGATGCTCCCCGCGCCCGCACCGCGGAACAGCCGCTTTTCCTGCAGAGAAAGGGCCGCATCCAGCTCTGCGCCAGGGCAGCGGCCAGGCTCTAGCCAAGTCTAGTCTCTCCGCAAGAGAGCGGGTCCCCCGTAGCGGGAGGGTCCCAGCTCCAGCCCGCGCCCCGGCCCGTGCTCACACTGTCAGCCCTGGCCACCTCCTCCATGAGTGAGCCCGCGCAGTCCTGCACCCGACGAGGCTGCAAGTTCCACCTGCAGGACAGGCACGGAGATGGGCCACCAGGCCCGGCTCAGCGCTGCCCTGCCGTCCTCCCTAATCTCTCAGCCCTTACGGTTCCGAGCCACCTCGCGTGGCATCCAGCGCAGCCGCTGCCTCCATCACCTTTCCCTGCAGCTCCTGGAGGGTGGCAACAGGGACTCAGGGCGGAGGATACGGTCGGCCGGTCGGCCGTGGATGAGGCCGCGGGGCATTCGGAAGTGACCGGCTTTCAGAACCGCGGGGGCCGCACCTGCAGGACTCCACTCTGCTCCTGGAAACTGGCCCAGGCCTCTTCCGTACGCTGCGCGCTCTAGAAGCCGGGGGGGGGGGGGGGGGGGGGGGGACGGGACGGGGGGGACACCTTGGATAAGCATCACCGGGACATGCCCTCCCCCGAGCCCTCCCCTCAGAGGCCAGCGCCGTTCGCACCTGTCGCAGGCCCTCGGCCTGCATGGTGAATTTGGCCTCTGCCAGCTCCAGGTGTTTCTTCGGGAGGATCCAAGTGAAGTCAAGAACCTGCAAGCCTCGCACACCGCTGTGCCCGGAGGCTTGGTCCCTAGCCTTCGGTCCGATGCTCCACCCACGCAAGCGCGCGGCCCCGCCCACAGTCAGACCCCGCCCACAGCCCCGCCCAAGTACCTGCAGTGCCATAAGCTGAGTCCCCAGTTGCTGATCCGCTCGCTGTTGACTCAGCTGTTCTCCTCCATAGTAGAAAAGCTGGGAACCGAGCTTGTGAGTGCCTGGCTTATGGGACTTGGGGGCGAGGACGTGACCTGAGCCCCTCTGTACGTACCTGGCTGGACAGCTCCTCCCACTGTTCCTGCAGCTTCCGATTGTGTTGCTCCTGCGGACAGGGTCCAGGCTGTCTATGCCTCTCCGCCCGCCTCGCCACCCCGGGTCCCGCCTCCTGCTCTTGCCCGCACCAGGTCCAGCCGGTGCTGCTCCGCGGCCTCCAGCAGCCCACGAGCCCGCTCCGCGCGCTCCCGCGCCGCCTCGCGCGCCTCCCCTCGCATAGCCCGCGACGCTTGGCTTCGTCTCCGCTGCAGGCTGCCGGGCGGGGCAAATTGGCCAATGATGAAACTAGGGCGCAGGATCCTCTGGGAAGGCCCACCGCCAGCCTGAGAGTTCCAGGCTGAGCTCCCACCGCCCGAGCCGAGACTGCCAACAAGCCTGCCCTGGGGCCTCGGTGCCCTCGTACCTGCGCTCACGCTCGCGCAGCTCGTCCAGGCGCCCGGTGAGGCTCTCGCTCTCGGCTTCCAGCCCACGCACCAGCTCCTCCAGCTCCTGCTTCCGCAATCGGCCATCGCGGTTGTCCTTCTGCAGCTGCAGCAGCTGCTCCTGCGGCTCAGCCATAGCTCCAGCACTCTGCCGGACCTCCGCCGCCGGGGCGATCCGGTGGCCCGCGTCACAATGGGCAGCAGGGGGCGCCAGAGCCCGACCCGAAAGGGGTCACGCCCAATCAATTCAGGTATATACATTTTATCAATGCGGGACTTAGTGGCCCACGTCTATCATCCTATCTCCTGGGGTGTGGGAGACATAGAGATCAGAAGGCTACATGTGGACCTGTCTCAAAATACACACAAAAGTATCAAATCACGATCGGATTGATAACAAGTTAATAAAATTCTAAGGTAAGACCAGACTTGACAGTTCATGCCTGTAATCCCTGAAGTCCAGAGGCTGAGGCAACAGGATCATCACCTAGAGTTGAAGGACAGCATAGCTACATAGCAAGAAGATCCTGACTGAAGAAAAATGAAACTGAACCACCACAGTAACTGTAACTACGGGATAAATCAGGTATACCTCCCCTTAGATTCTGAGTGACCACGCAAGGGAATACTAGAATTTTGAGAAAAACGTTTAAAATTAAGTTCCTTTCATTTTCTGCCCCCTGTGTTGGAACAATGATGACTTTGATGTGGTCTCAGTGATTGGACTTTGGTTAGCACGGCACCTTGCCGAGTGAGGGGTGACAGGACAGGTCTGAGATGCTAGAATGCCAAGGCATTCTCTTTTCTCCATGTTTTTAGCTCTAGAAAACCCTTATTGATCGGGCTTGTTGAGTGGTCTGGGTAGAAGAAGATGATCGAGTTTTGTGATCTGGGAGGTTCTGAGAGTACTGGGTCTCACACTGTAGCCAGCCTGGTCTTGAACTCAAGCCTATCCCCCTGCCTCCATCTCCCTGGTACTGGTTTACACTCAGTTCAATAAATTTTTCCTACAATTTGTTTTTCCTTATGTTGATGTTGTGTGTTGTTATGTGCCACGTGTGCAGGTGCCTCAGAAGGACCTCTGATCCTTTGGAGCTAGAGTTTGAGGTAGTTGTGAGCCCAGTTGGGTGCTAGGAACTAAATTTAGGGCCTCTGGAAGAGCAGCAAAGTGCTCTTAACTGAACACTGTGGCTTTTCACATTCTACAGTGATCTAGTTCTCTACAGAGATTTTAAGAAGCTAATTTCTTTAATAATTTGGAGGTAGACATTCCCGATGCTGTAATGAATATTTAATGAAGCATCATAGCCTCATTAGGGAGGCTGAGGGAGGGATTTTGCTGAAAATTCGAAGCCACCTGGACTTCGACTACAAAGGCTCAAACAAAACATAACAATGAATAGATTTCTTTCTTTCTTTTTCTTTCTCTTTTTTTAAAGTGGGCTGGGGATACTGCTTGGTTGGTAGAATCTTTGCATACACAAGGTGTTAGGTTCAATCCCCAGTATCATACACACACATACACACACACACACACACACACACACACACACACACACACACACAAATCAATTATTTATTTAAAGGAAGGGCTGTGCTATTTGATAGCTCTGGCTAACCTGAAACTCCCTTGCTGTCTGCAATGTGCCTGGCCTAGAAACCCAAAACCTTCAGGTACCATCAGCACATTTCAGATTTCCAGGATAGGGTGCTGTGTGTCATGTCTATACAAATAGTTCAAAACTCCAAGTCTCTGAAACCCATGGCCCTAGGCATTTGGGAGAGAGTGTTTGAACACTTGGTTTTTGTATTTGCTGTGTTGGGGATGGAGACAGAGCCTGGCAGACTGTGATGTGCCTTCTCCCTCTGAGACCCTAGGTCTTCAGTGCTCCCGTGAGACTCCTCCTCAGCCATCGCCCACTCCGCAAGGCCTCTCCTTCCTCTTAGCCTTTGACCAGCCCCTGATCATCAGTCACTCAGCAGGCACACCTGCAGCTTCGGCAGCTGCTCGGTTTTACTAATCTCGGACTAGCTCTTGTGTTCGATTTTGTTCTCTCTTATTCTCTGAGACAGGGTGCCATACAGTTCAGACTGACCGGAAACTCAGCTGTAGCCAAGCGTGAGCCGGGCCTCCTTACCCTCCCCCATCTCACTGCCCAAGTGCTGAGACCACAGACTGAACCCCTGTGCCTGGCCTTTTCTTGTGGTCAGTATTTGTTGCTTTTATAATAATAATAATTTCTTGCTAAGTAACCTTGGCTCATCTGTAGCCCTAGTTGACCTCCAAACTGTGGCAACCTTGTTTTTGTATCCAAAGACTTGTACCACCATCCCTGGCTAAAAATTGGCAGAAGAAAAGCACTGTACTATGTTAAAAAGGTGAAAGTCGAGGCAAGATAGAGAAACAAAATTAGGACATGGGAAAGGAGAGGAGCCTCCACCCCCATCCTGGAGTCTCATACCAGCGTCAACATTTGCTGTGGAGGATGTTGTTTACAGACACTGGATGCTAACATGGCAATGAATAGGCTTAAGGCCTGAATGTATGTGACCTTGCATAGGGTATTAACACACATACACACACACACAGAGAGAGAGAGAGAGAGAGAGAGAGAGAGAGAGAGAGAGAGAGAGAGAGAGGCGTGCATGCACTTCTGAAACTCAAACGTGACTATTAACTTTGCACCCCTGTTTTAGCAGTAATCCGAATGGGTCCCCTCTGAGACCTCCCTGGGATCTCCAGTCTCAGGTTCCTGGGCCAGCCTTTGAAGAACTCCACTTTAAAGAGCCAAGGCAGTGGTGGCGCACGCCTTTAATCCCAGCGCTCAGGAGGCAGAGAAATGCGGATCTCTGTGAGTTTGAGGCCAGCTTGGTCTACAGAGCGAGTTCCAGAACAGGCTCCAAAGCTACACAGAGAAACCCGGGCTCGAAAAACAAACCAACAAAAGCCTCAGGAAGTCCCCGAGGCTGACTATCAGATGCTCGAGACCCTTCTTCCTGGGAGACAGAGACCAGCCAGCTACCTGGAGAGGTTCTGACTAACTGGGCTTCCTAGACCCCCTCCCCTGCCAAGCTGCCTGCAGGCTGTGCGCAGGTTTTCAGCTCCCTGAGGGCAGGGAACCCAAATAAAAGCACTGGTTCAACAACTGCTTCAGCGCCCTGGGCCTTGGTGGTGTGTATCCATACTTTAGTTGGTCATCAGTTTTCCTATCTGGGGTCAGAAGACTTTGTTTGTTCTCATCTCCGAAGGAACAAGTCCCACCAGAGACGCCCACATCCACACTTGGTTATGTCTTGCTCCTTCGAGGAGTCCACATCCACGCTCTGGGGTGAGCCACTTCTTCTCAGCATCTCGTCATCTCTTACCCCTCATGTTTCAAGTCTGAATTATCTTAGGCTGGTGACATGCTCATCATCAGACAAGCCCAGTAAACTGAGTTCAATCTACAGACCCCCAGTGAAAGGAAAGAGTGCTGGAGTTGTCCTCTGACCTCTACACAGGGAGGTCATGGCACAAGTGTGCTACTCTCAACATCACACACACAAAAATAGTTTCATTTTAATGTGTCTGGGTGTTTTACCAGCAAGTCCATGCACCATGTCTATGCAGTACCTGTGGAGGCCAGAAGAGGGCATCAGATCTCTTAAAATGAGTTACATACTGTTTTGAGCTGTGGGTGCTGGGAATCCAACCAACTCCTCTGGGAAAGGGCTCATAACTGCTGAGCCATCTCCCCAGCCCCCAAAATGTTTAGTGAAACCTCAAGTCGGCTTTACACTGAGCAATCTTGCAATACTTTTCTGTGTCAAAGTCCAGAGTCTATGGCCTGAGGTCCCTAAAAGCTGAATGGTGACTCCTGAGACTGCTGTGACAGAGAGAAGCGGTCCTCGTCCTCACCTCCCTTGACAAAAGCTATACAAAATGACAGCAGCTACCTAAGGGCTTGGCTGGCTGACCTTTGCCCACAACTTAGGAAATCTTGGCTTCTCCCTGGCTGCAGACTCAGGACACAGACACTTTATACACAGGGACAGAAACGGGTTGTAAAATACTGCTCTTTGCTGGCCAGAGCTCCTGGTCCTAGGCTCACCTGGAGAGGGTGAAGGATGGCCAGAAAAGGGCATCAGATCTCCTAAAATGAGTTACAGATTGTTTTGAGCTGTGAGTGCTGGGAATCCAACCAAGCTCAGTGTAAAGCGGACTTGAAGTTTTACTAAACATTTTGGGGGCTGGGGAGATGGCTCGGCAGTTATGATGATCTAAGGGTTTCTCCATGCTACCTGGGGACCATCTCCTGCCTGGGAGGGGGGTGGGGTCAGTGCCCCAGTGAGTACTATGTACGAGGCTATAGTTGCCAGGGAAATAGTCAATGTTTACCATCCTAACGGGACACTCACCTATTTGCTCTCTGGACATTTCCTCGGGGCTCTCTCATGCCTTCTCTACCCCTCACCAAAGGTCCAAAATTCTCTCTCCACCATGACAAACATTTTGACCTGTCCATCTCACTGTTCAGTTCCACGAGGATGCCCCGGGACAGCTTCTGCAGATCCTACACAGCCCCCAGGCCTCCCTTTGCTGGTCCTGTTCTGATGCCTCCAAGCTTCATGCACAGCCTTTACACTAGCCTGTCCCCAATTCCAATTCCAAACTATAGACCTATCTCCCGGACTTGTCAATTATGACTGGGAAGTGCCCTGCCTCAGCCCAGTGTGACTTGGCTACTGTTTGCCCAACACTGAGAGATCCACTTGCCCCCATGAACAAGGAGAAGTTTGAGGGACATGGTCTTGAAGACAGTGCCACCCACTGTACACTGGGGGGAAAGGCTGCCTTGTGCCACCCACTCTTACCACCTTCACTGCCACAGCTTCAGACTGGATCACTCCAAACTCCCCAAGGTCCACTTCCCCTGCCCATCTCCCTACTAAACGTCCTTAAACCCTCCATGGCTGACTTCACAAAACACAAGTTCAAATCAGTCCTCGCTGGCTGCAAAGCACACAAAGCTGCCACCTGTTGCTCCTCAGACATTACCTGCCAGAGGCACCTGCTCCTCCCTCTCCCGGCACCCCAAATACAACCCATCCTGCCCAATGTGTTCACCGTGTCCTTGGGGCTCAGCCCTAGGCATCTACTGGCACTTAGAACTGTGTCCAGGACATAAGAAGGCATTGTTTGTACAGAAAGCTTCTGCTACAGAAACCTGGCATGGTGACCAAGGAGGACACAGGCTCCTGTAGGGAGAAGCTGGTATTCCAAAGCCAGGCAGATGCGGCCTCAGGGTTCCAGAGCCAACTCTACCAATTCACTGGTGTTCCTCGACTCCTTTTGCTGCCCCAACTGATCTATCCTGGCATCTGTAAGGCCACTGCTAAAAGGCAGGTGAGGTCCCTCAAGCCGTTGTGGCTCTTCTCCACTGCACACCCTCCCATTCCTGCCAAGGGGGCCAGAGGCCGGTTACAGCCTTCCCCCTGGGGCTGACTGACATGGCCTGGCCCTCACCCCATGGAGCTGAGACAGGGATTGTTGAAGAGAGAGAGGGAGGGGTCTGGACTCCTCTGACCTGCTTCTTCAGCACCCACACCGCACCTAAAGAATCCCACTGTAGGCCAGGAGGCCAGCACTTGGTGCCTGCCGTATGCCTGGATGCATGTTCTTGTGCACTGGATCCTGGGTCACATCTGTTCACACTGAATCCCAGACCTGCCCTATAGTGGCCACTTCAGCCATGTGGTGGCCTCATTTGCCATCATCTGTGGGCAGGGTATTTGAGGACATCATGATGATGGCAGGGGGGTACACTTGGCACTTTGATTACCAAAGTCAAGCCTGACATCATTCGTGTGTTTCAGTGTGTGTGATATGCACGATCAAAGAACTTGCAGGAAATCAGTTCTCTCCTTCCATCAGGCCCAATGATCAAGCTAAGGTTGTGACAAGCCCCTACATGCACTGAGCCATCTCACCAGTCTGTGATTTGGCTTTTAAGTTTCTTCATGAGCCAGCTGGCGCCTGGTCACTGCCCCATACACCACCCTAAATTCTAGCAAGTGCCAGATAACTACCCCCACTCTGCACACAATGTCCTTTCCCCAGGTCACCAACCCAACTGTTCCTACGTCAGTCTAAGGGGAACGCTGAGAAACCTTAATACTATAGTGACACCAGAAAAAAAGAGCCGGGCGGTGGTGGTGGCAGCGCACGCCTTTAATCCCAGCACTCGGGAGGCGGAGCCAGGCTGATGTCGTGAGTTCAAGGCCAGCCTGGGCTGCAGAGTGACACGTGAGACTCCACCCTGTTATGGGTGGTCAGAGTCTTAGCGTCCTACTCAGAATGAATTTAAGAAAATGACACAAACACCATTCACAGTGAAGTGGCAGAGTGGAGAGGAATGTGAGGTTCACGGTCAGCTAGATGAGGGGAAAGTTTCAAGGACAAGAACCTGGGATGCTTATGGGGTCTGCATAGTGGGGCTAGTTGCTAAGGGGTACAGTTTGGGGGGTTCTCTATTTTGACTGACAGGTTAAGTTATATAATCATTTCTTTGTTGTACATGTACCTTCCCATAATGCATCTTATTTTAATTTTAATCACAAATACACAACTGTACTTAGGCCTAAGATGTTAAATAAGGTACTTTCCTCTAAAAGTTCACTTTAAGGACACAATTTGCCATATTGTACATGAACTCAAAACTGGCTCAGGCCAAGTGACCTCCCTACTACTTTTGTGCCTGAATGTAACTGGAGTATGGGCCAGGCATGCCTTGAACCCTGCAAGTAGGCAGGACTACACAGTGAGTTCCAGGCCAGCCTGTCTCAACAACAAAACACCTTGAGTATGACTGCACAGAATCTACGTTTCATAGCCTTATAAGGAGAAACCCATCATTGGAGGGTGCTAGGTCGCTACCAGCTTGCTAGGTGCATTGTTCAGAGATATGTGTACATTCTACATGCAGGAAAATCGTCCAGGCTGCCAAGTGCAGTCTAAGAGAGCTCAAAACACTGCAGCCCCACACTGCTTGCTGTGGTGGTTTTAAAACACAGACACATGTGTTTGAGTGCTTGGCCTATAGGGAGTGACACTATTTGGAGGTGTGGCTTTGTTGGAGTAGGTGTGGCCTTGTTGGAGGAAGTGTGTCCTTGAAGGGAGGGCTTTGAGGAATCCTATCCTCTAGCTATGCCCACGAAGGAAGAGTTCACTACGCCTGTGGATCAAGATGTAGAACTCTCAGGTACCTCTCCAGCACCCCCATGCTTCTGCCATAATGATGACAGACTAACCTCTGAACCGTAAGCCAGACCCAAATAACTGTTTTCCTTTCTAAGAGTTGCTGGGGTCATAGTGTCTCTGAGATACTTGCTGACTCAATAGCACTGGCTAAGGTAGTGAATTCACTGTGAAGAGTATACACAGAGCCTCAGTACAGGAGGTGGGTGGCAGCTTGTGTACTCCAGAGCTGCTTTGATCTCTCTGCTGGGCTGCCCGTCCAGAAGCGAAGCCCAAGCAGAGAAGGAGCAAGTGTCCTGGGCTCCTCTGGGCTAGCTTACATACATGTACTATTTCCTGACGGAAGCCAGCAATGACGGCTCCTTGGTGCTGGCCTGAATGCTATTGTTCTCAATTTGCTGGCCAGGCGCTGAGCCATTGCCAGGGTAGAACTCTCAGTATCACTCAGGGTTTCCTCACAAGCCTTTCTGTATTTTCAGGGACCAGGCCAGGTTCATGCACAGAACAGTGCCTTCTGGATTCCTACCCTATCCAGAAGAACCAGGCTCCCTCCCCTACACCCAACTCGTTTGGTTTCCATAGGTCATCATTCATCTGTCCTGAGCCTGAATGCTGTCCTTGCGTACATCTGCCCTCACTCAGCCTGACCACACACCCAAGCTCCACCCCCTGGCTCCAGGGGCTCCTGCCTCCCTCAGGCCACAGTTGGAAAGAGGTTCAAAGACCTGCAGTTGCCCAGGCCAGGAGTTAAAGTCTCACAAGTGCCCACACATTCCTACTCAGAGTCTGGAAAATAATCAGTACAGACCACCACACATGACCTAACAGCCTGTGAAGAGGAAGCAACCATTACTGTCAATTTTAACAGTCCAAGATGGTGGCAACACCACCTGGTTTCCACTGGACACTGGGAACAAGACATCAAAAGTTCCCTTTCGGGGTTAGGGAAATAGGAAGTACAGAAGTGTGAGGATTCAAGTCCAAATCCCCAGAACCCACATAAAGCCAGACATTGTAGCATTTGTCTCAAGTCCCAGGATTTCTATGGGAAATCAGGAGGAATAGAATAGAAGCCAGTCTAGTGTACACAGCAGACAGACACACACACACACCAAGTCTCAAACAACATGGAAGGTGAGGGCTAACACCCAAGGCTGTCCTCTGACCTCCACAGTCACACACACACATATGGTGGCACACACACACAATTAAAAGCAAGCTTCAAAGCTGGACGTAGTGGCGCACACCTTTAATCTCAGTGCTCAGGAGGCAGAGGCAGGCAAATTTCTGAGTTCATGGAACTGGTCTACAAAGCGAGTTCCAGGACAGCCAGGGCTACACAGAGAAACCCTGTCTTGAAAAACCAAACCAAACTAAACAAAGAAATAAAAAAAAAAAATAAAATAAATCAAGTTTCAGGGGCTGGAGAAATGACTCAGTGGTTCAGAACACTTGCTGCTCCTGCAGAAGACCCTGACTATTCCTCCTTTCCAGAGTGGAGGGAGCTAAGGCGATGCTCTAAGCCAGGTGTGGTACACACACACACACACACACACACACACACACACACACACACACACACACACACACACACACACACACCAGCACTCAGGAGGTGGAGAGGAGTTAGGATCAGAATTCTGCTGTCCTAAACTCTGGAGTAAGAGACTAGCCTGAGTGATATGGGATCCTGAGAAGTAGAGTGATCCTCGCCAGGTATGTTGGCACAAACCTTTAATCCCAGCACTCAGGAGACAGGAGCAGTCAGTTCTCTTCGAGGACAGCCAGGTTATACAGTGAGTCTCAATTAAAAAAAAAAAAAAAAAAAGGTGCCGGGCGGTGGTGGCGCACGCCTTTAATCCCAGCACTCGGGAGGCAGAGGCAGGCAGAACTTTGTGAGTTCAAGGCCAGCCTGGTCTAGAGAGTGAGATCCAGGAAAGGCGCAAAGCTACACAGAGAAACTCTGTCTCGAAAAACCAAAAAAAAAAAAAAAAAGGGATTCTCCGACACCAGTGCAGTCCGACCCAGGAGGAACTTCCTGTTACCAGGTGATACCATGGCAGGTCCTTTACTGCAGATTAGGTGCGGACCCTGTGGGTACTGACACTGTAAATGGAAACCAGCCTGTCCTGAAGACTTGAACCATCCTCACCACTCAATAGTCCCCTTAGGGGTGCCGGAGCCAGACCTGTCAAAAGCCTCTTCAAACAGCTCTGGGAAAGAGGTGCCTTAAACTCAGAGCCTGGGGACTGTGCACAGTACCATGCTGTACATTCATCCCCAGCACTGCCAAAGGAAATTGTAAAGGGAACCTAGAAAGAAACCAGCTAAGACCAGGGGCTTGGGTGGTGGTAATGCCTTTAAGCCATGCAAGATAGTTGAGCTGGTCATCAAATTTTAATTTTTTGGTTTGAGCGATGGCTGTTCTTCCGGAGGTTCTGAGTTCAATTCCCAGCAACCACATGGTGGCTCACAACTACCTGTAATGGGCTTTGACTCCTTCTTCTGGCATGCAGGAGTATATGTATATGACAGAACGGAGCACTCATATACATAAAATACACAAATAAATCTTTAAATATAGACATTGGGACTGGTCATTTAATCACAATGGGGAGCAAGAGGCAGGAGTGTAGCAAGAATCTTAAAAGTTCTTATTAATAAAATCAAACCTGATGCCAGGTATTGGGGTGAATGCTGGAAGATCAGAGAAGCAGAACAAGCCACCGCTTCCTCACCTCGACAATTCCTCAGCTGGTCCTGTTTCCTCAGACTGGAAGCCTCTGAGTCCTCATCTAGAATGAATCTCAGCTGAACTGTGCTGCTCCAAAACCTAAAAGTGCCGGGCGGTGGTGGCGCACGCCTTTAATCCCAGCACTCGGGAGGCAGAGCCAGGCGGATCTCTGTGAGTTCGAGGCCAGCCTGGTCTCCAAAGCGAGTTCCAGGACAGGCACCAAAACAACACGGAGAAACCCTGTCTTGAAAAACCCAAAAAAAAAAAAAAAAAAAAACCTAAAAGCTTAACCAGCCTAGTACCTCATCCTCACGCCTTAAATACCTTTCTGCTTCCTGACATCACTTCCTGGGATTAAAGGCAAGAGTCACCATGCCTGGCTGTTTCCAGTGTGGCTTTGAACTCACAGAGATCCAAGCGGATCTCTGCCTCTGGAATGCTAGGATTAAAGGTGTGAGTGCCACCATTTTCTGACCTCTATATCTAGTGGCTGTTCTGTTCTCTGACCCCAGATAAATTAGGGTGCACAATATATTGGGGAACACAATATCACTACACAGGAGAGATGGCTACATGGTGAGATGGTACCTCAAGAACAGAGGGGGATAGGAGAGAGGAGAGAACACTTCCACGGGAATTTAAAATAAACCAGATATAGGCACCAGTGCTTGGGAGATGAAGGATCAGTTAGAAATTAGGATATGCCAGGCGGGTGGTGGCAGCACACGCCTTTAATATCAGCACTCCGGAGGCAAAGCCAGGCAGATCTCTGTGAGTTTGAGGTCAGCCTGGTCTACAGAGCAAGATCCAGGACAGGCACCACAACTACACAGAGAAACCCTGTCTCGGAGGGGGGGGGGGAGGATTAGGATATAATTCATCCAGCAGAGTGCTTAACTATCATACACAAAGCCCCAGACTCTACACACACCGTGGCACTCACAGAAGCACCAGGAAAACACACAGAAGAAATTAAGACTTTTTCTTTTCTTTTTTTAAAATTTTTAAATGATTTATTCTTATTTTATGTGCATTGGTGTTTTGTCTGCATATATGTCTGTGTGAAGGTGTTGCATCCCCTGGAACTGCAATTACAGTTTTTAGCTGTCAGGTGGGTACTGGGAATTGAACCTTGTCCTTGGAAGAGCAGCCAGTGCTCTTAACTGCTGAGCCATCTCTCCAGCCCCGTAATTAAAAAAGTTTCTGTGTAGTCCTGGAACTCATTCTGTAAACCAGGCAGGCCTCAAACTCAGAGATCCACCTGCCTCTGCCTCTTGTGCTGGGATTAAAGGCATGCAACACCACCGCCTGGCCGAGTCGGGCTTTTTAAATGTTCATGAACCTATTTTTTGAGTCACCCTATCTTGCAAGTGCACATAGGGGAGTTTGAATCTAGTGTCCTGGCACATGCTGGGAAAACTGCCCTGCTACAACCCCAGCCCTTAGAATCAAGTCTTTAGCCTACCAAGACTCAAGGCGGCAGCCCTCATTCTGGAGACTACCCACTAAGAGGGCTCTCATCTTGTCCCAGCCCTTAGTTACAAACTGTGCTCCAGGGTACTGGTCACACCTCATCCCAGCCACTCCACCAGATCTGCTTTCTGGACAGCCTCAATTAACTTGAGCCATTGTTGTTCTGACCATGCTCACATCTAAAGGCAATCCCCCGCCATCTTCTCACCCCAGATCCTGCTCTCTCCTAAGACCTTGTCACTCTGCTGGAGGGTACAGCCACAAGACAGACACCACAGTTTTCAATCAAGCTTTTAATGAAAAGATCATAAAATAACAGTTTCTCATCACTGTACATTAAGACTGCACACTTTTGAATGGAGAGATCAGTCATGGATAAATCACTCTGACATTGGAGGGCTGCACAGCTGCAGCTCTGACCTGAATGCATCCATCCAGACTCTAGGGAAGTAAACTCAATGTGATGAGTGGCAACAGCGGTGACCAGTACAGGAGTACGACCCCCGCACCCCTCCCCTGCTCCGGGAAGGGTACAGAGGATGTGATCCCTCTTCCAGTTCCAATTAAACGAAACAGATATACCCCATCCCTCCTGAGGTATTTGCAAATGGGATGGATGGAGCCCAGACTGGGGCCCCTGGAGGAAACAAGTGATGGGTTAGGTACAGGGAGGTTCCTTAAGCACCTGGCCCCATGGGGCCCCACCAAATGGAGGGGAGGACCCTGGGAACTCTCCCTGACCCAAGTGAGGTCTGTTATGCAGCATTTTTGAGGTCAATAAATTACAGCAATAAATAGCAAGGTGAGGTAGGGGGAGGGGTCCCTGGTAGAAAGTTAAAGTAAGGTGACTGAAGCTGCAGGCATCCTAGGAAGGGGGTCCAGGGCAGCACGTTTCCACAGCTTCCACCCTTCCCGGGTTGGAATGTCAGACTGAGGTCGGGTCCCTCTCTATCCCTCATTCCTGGCATCCATTTCATAGGTTCAGTAACATTGGCCCCATAGTGACTGGGGAAAGGAAGACCTTGGTCCCTTTGGTGAAGCACAGCAAGGCTTGGGGCCTGTCCATTCTTTCAGGCCCAGCCGCTTGGCTTCTGCCTCTGTTCCTAGCACTTACCCCCTGAGCCCTGCCCTCCTGGCTGCCCAGGATTCCCCCTCCTCAGGAAGGCTCTGCCTGCTGACAGCTCAGCAGATCGTACTCCTGCACAAGGACCCTTAGGTCCAGTGAATACTGACAGTGTGGGAAGCATGTGGGGATCTGGGTCCCCTCAGTGCTGATGGACGGAAACACACTTCCTGGGCCATGTGAGGTCAGGGGTCACAGGCTGAGGTGTATGGCTATACTGCAAGTCTGAGATTCTTAAGTGTTCACAAGTTCATCTTTTCCTTTTTGCAATCTTGGAAGAGCCCTTGCAGTAGCTCGGTCCAGTGGGAGTGGGCACTGGCAGAGCCGGGCCTGCTTCCACCAGCTTGCCCTAAGTCTGAGAAATAAATACATTCATCACTGCACAAACATTGATACAAAACAACACTGTTGAGAGTGTTCGCACCATCTGTTGGTGAGGACCAGACTCAAGCCAGACCCTTCTGCTGCCCGGGGTGGGGTGTGCACATGATGGAGTCGGCTGAGCTTCCTAAAGCTCCCTGCTTTTTGGCTTGAGTGACTCTCACAGTAACACAAGGCTCACGGGCAGGGCTGACATCCACCCCTTGGGTCCAGCCAGGAGGCCTGGGGGCTGGTCAGCTTGGTGCATGCTCTTTGGTGGCAGCTGAGCTTGAAGAGGCCCCAAAAGTGGGGACTAGGGCTCAGGTGAAGCTAAAGGGAGGGCTTCTAGTTCTCACCCAGCACCCAGGGCTGCCTCTGCCCTTAAGCTGCTCAAGGGTCGACTTAGAAGCTTAGAAAGACCCAGGAGGGAGGGGAGAGTTCCCTGGGACTGGCCTTATAGCTGCTGAGGTCTGAAACTGTAAAAGTTTATGTAAACAATGAGATAAATATATTAGTATCTTTTTTTCTGAGCCCACTGAGGTTCCATACTCATTCAAAATGTGCTTTGGTTTAAAAAATAGGTTTTGTGAATTTGGGTATGAGCTTTTTTTTTTTCTTTTGATTTTTTTTTTATCTTTTTTTCCTACATGACATCTGCTATTTTCTGTTTCCTGTTCCTCCAAAACATTCAGGAATTAAATGACTAAAAGAGAACTGTCAGCCACCTTGGCCTCCTATGGCCTGATTTCCTTGAGGCTCTTGACATCACACACACACACACACACACAGACGCGCACACGGACAGTCGTAAGCATGCACCAATGAAAACAAAGAAAAAAGAAAACAAACCAAGTGTCGATCCCGCCCAGCCCAACGACCCTTAAAATCTTAAATAGGAAACTAGTGTTTTGCTTTCTCATTAAAATACAGAAAAGCTTGGTACAATACTAAGGTGGCTACAATACTCTGTCGCACAAGACGTGCTGAGGGGCTCTGCTCCCAGTCCCTGAATTTCTGCACAACAGATGAGGCTGCCCACAGCCTGGGAGGCCACACGGGGTCCCCACGCTGTACAGACTTTGTGTCCTGTGGCTTAAGTGCTGGTGGGGTGGGGTGGGGTGGGGTGGGGTGAGGTGGGGTGGGGTGGGGTGGAGAGCAGAGGCTAGCACGCCCTGCTTCTTCCCTGGGTGGAATGGGTCTTCACTCAGCTGCTCAGTCTGACTTGCAAGAACTGAAAAGAGATTACAGGCAAAGGGTAAAGTACTGGCTCAGAGCAAGGGCACCACGGGAGCCTGGCCAGGTGCCCTCACTCCCACCTGCCACTCACAGGGTCCCTGAACTCAGGCTAGAGGGTCTATGGAGAGGTGGGAGCAGGGGATGACTCTGGAATTTTTTGGTCTTTAGTAAAAAATCAAAAGGAACATGAAAAGCTATCAAGCAACATGATAAGGCCTACGGGCCCAGATCTGTGGCTCATCTGGGGCAGAGCACAGACAATCTTGGTCTGGCTTTGCCCCTTCCTGGAGCCCATGGAAGCATCTGAAGCTGGCTGACACACCCACCCCTATATTTGCTAAGTCTGGATGGAGGTGGAGGCCAACCTGTACCTCTGGCTCTTCAGTAGGTTCTTAGACACACAAGAGCTCAGGAGGAGACCGGATGGGCTCACTTCCACCTCACCCTGGCCCATGCAGGGAGCTGCTCCCTCCTCATGGCTTCTGTTACTCAGGTGCCCAGCACCTGCCCCACAAACAGCATCCCCTGAGCAGCAATCATCCCTTCAGAGAACACTGAGGCCCACAAAGGGCTCGGGCCAGCCCAACCCAGCATACTCCCACTATAGGAAACAACTATAGCCTCAACTGTACTGTGGTATTGAATTCAAGAGGTAGCAAAAGGTCAGAAGGCTCTCCACCTTGTTCCGTGAGCAAGGAAGCAAAGCATCTGTGCATAAGCAACACACATACACTCTCTCTCTCTCTCTCTCTCTCTCTCTCTCTCTCTCTCTCACACACACACACACACACACACACACACACACACACACACACACGAACAAGAGTGCCAATGGCCCTGGCACCAAGTCTAGCCTCCCCCTCCCCCTCTGAAACTTCCGATCTTTAAGTTCCAACATCTCAAAAAACGTATGGTGTGTGTGGGGGTTCCCAATAAAAGTAAGTACCTCTAACTAGTGACATTCCTTGGAAATTATGGGAAAAGCATGTTCTCCTGAGGAAGCCCAGGCAGGCAGGGCTCGGGATCAGGGAAGCCTTTGGGCAAGAAGGGCTTCTGGGGCCTTGGAGAGGCAAGTTCAACTATGCCCACAGCACCAGGACCAGGGGAAATGACAGGGAGGAGCAGCTGCCCCAGTTACATTCAGTCTGCAAACCCAGGCTCATCCCCAAAGAGGCAGGAGGAAAATATTGTTCATTTTGGTTTTAAAAAAATTTTTTTAAACTGTAAAAAAGAAATAGGAACAGCTCAGTAGGAATAACAGTAACACAGGCCCAGAGGGCTCTTTAGTTGTAGAGAGGTAGGCAGTGGGGTCACCCTGACTGTCCCAGTGCGAGCTCAGAGAGAAAGGAACTGCCACCCAACACCAGCTTCCCAACAGTAGAGTCACACTGCACCGCAAAGACACACGCGCGCGCACACACACAGTCGAGGCCCTGACAGCCGAGGGCCTGCTCCAGGCACCACTCTTGGCCAGGGAGGGGAAGCCCTGTGCCTCCTCTAGCCCAGACTGCAGGTAAGGGACCAAGTCCCACTGACACCCACATGATGGACTCCCACCGGCTCTTCAGCAGCCCCTTCAGGGAGCTGGGAGCCAACTGGGACGGGAGGTAGAATAGTCACCAGCACCACACGCGCAGGGCTGGCCCGGGCAGCTCTTCTCCTGGCTTCCCTTGGTACACTGTTGATTAAAGCTCTGGGTATGGGGAGGCGGGGCCAGAGGAGCTGCCGGGAGCCTCGTGCAGACTTCGGGGCTCAGCCCTCCCACCGTACTTCCTCATCCTCCTTCCGTACTTCCTCATCCTCCTTCCGTGGGCTCCCAAGTGGCAAGTCTGCAGAGGGCTCCCTCGGGTCTTTGGCTTCTAGGAAGGGGAAGTGTGCATGCGCAGGTGGCTGATGAGGTTGCGCTGCTGGGTGAACTTGCCCCCACAGAGCTGGCACTCATAGGGCTTCTCACCTGAGTGTACACGCATGTGCTCTGTGAGGCGGTACTGGCGGGTGAAGCGCATGCCACACTCGTCGCAGGCAAAGGGCTTCAGGCCCAGGTGGCTCCGCATGTGGCGCGTCATAGTGCCTCGCTGTGTGAACATCTTGCCACAAATGTTGCAGGGGAAGGGCCGGGTCAACCAGTGTGTCTTCTCGTGTTGCCGAAGTGTGGCCGGGTCCTTGTAGGTCTTCTCACAGACTGAGCACTTGAAAGGACGAGGCTCGGCTGCATAGGCGGCACTAGGTGTTGACAGGTCCTCAGCCTCCTCCTCTGCACCCCCACTGCCGGTCTCATAAGCCCCCTCTTCCTTGATGAATAACTCCTCCTCTGTGTGTGTCTCCACATGAGCATTGAGCTGCTCAGAGCTGGGGAAGCCCTTGGCACAAGGGATGCACACGTAGAGGTTGTCACCGTAGGACACCGTCTCATAGCCTTCCTGCCGGTACACGTACTGGGCACCAGCGTGCCCACTGCCCCCCTCGCTCCCACTCTGCCCACTGTCCTCGCTCCCATCCTTGCCGTTCTCCTCCTCCTCCTTGCAGGGGTACGGCGGCTCCCCATATGACCCACTGGGGCCACTCCCACCAACACTGCTGGCCAGAATGCCATTGGGAACCCTGTCCCCAAGCCCCTCCCCTTCTTCCCCTGGGTTGGGACCCTTAGTCGCCGCCGTTTCTCTCCGATCAAAGGGGGACCCAGCCACAGGTTCCTTTTTGTTCCAATCCTTTTTGCGGGCTGAATGCCGGAGGCTCTTGCGAGGCTGCCCGCCCTGCCCTTCCAGCAGACTCACATGGTTGTCCTCGGCCCCTTCCAGATCCATGGGCTCCTCAGGAGTGGGCCCCAGCTCAGCGTATGAGGCACTGTTGCCAACAGGCAGGGCGGAGGTTGAAGTGGGTGCAGGTGAGTCGCGCTGGCTGTCGCTCAGCTGGGCTGGGTCTTCAGGAGTGAGGTGGGGGCCAGGGGCTGTAGGAGGCAGGGGAGGGCTCTTCTTGGACAGGTCCAGACCCAGCTCCTGCTCACAGCCCCCACTGCTCCCGTTGGTGCTGTTGCTACAACCCCCCAGGCCCACCTCCCCACCAGCTGGGCAGCCCCCCAGGCCCAGGCCATGTGTGCTTTCCTGGGTGGAGCTGCCCAGAAAAAGCTCATCATCTGATCCTTTGGCCTGAGGGAGCTCTTGGGGAACGGGGTGTCCTTTGCGCCCATCTACAAGTCCTGGATACCGAGCCTGGATGACAGAGGCTGTGGACAGCCGCTGACTACGGGTTGGTCGCCCCACGCCAGCAGCACCTACTCGTCCAGGGCCAAAGGGCTTGCCAGCTCGCTTCAGTTTGCGGCGGCAGAGGGCTGCCAACTCAGGCAGCTGGAGGTAGCTGGCGGCAGTGAGGAGAGTGCTGAAGTTGGGCTCAGATGGCTGGTCACTGGGCAGCAGCTTGCCCGTGTAGATGAAGTCCAGTATCTGCTGGAACACGGTGGAACTGACCATGTCTGTATCTAGGTTGATGAGGTTATCATGCAGGACCAGGGACTTGAAGTAGATGCTGCTAGCAGCCAGGACGTTCTTATGGGCCCGGAAGATAGAATTCTCCACCATGATGATGACATCACACAGGAAGCCCTTGGTCCTCTGCTGGTTCAGCTGCAGCAGGAGCTGTTTTGAATGGCTGGGCAGTTCCATGTCTGGCCCCATGTCCCTGCGCCCTGCCCACGGGCACCACCTGTGGGCAAGAACAGGCAGGATAGTTAACCTGCAACCTGCATGATGGCCTGGTACAGATTATGCACTGAGCCCACCCAATTCCACCCTCCTCAGGCACAGGGAGGATGGGTCTCAACCCATGAGAAAGGAGAGTGTGTCTGCCCATCCCCTGCCATTCACTCACATGAAAAAAAAGAGGTTATGAAAAGTAAAGGTGCCAAGCAAACTGGGTTTAGACTGGAGAGATGGCTTATTGGTTAAGAGCACTTGCTGCTCTTCACAGCCATCCATAATTCCTGTTCCCGGAGATCTAATCCCTTATGACCTCCACAGGAGCACACACTCAAGTGGTGCACACATAATCATGCAGGCAAAACATTCACACACATAAGTAATGATGCTAAAACAAATGTCAATTTGAATTGTACTTTGTCACCACTTCAATTCTAGAGGTCAGTCACAGGCTGAGGGACATGCAGAGAACCTACAAAGTGGCCAGCAGGTGGCTACAGAAACCACAACAAATACCCTTCTAGGGGCCACAGAGTACACTGGCTAGTCCTGCCTAGGCATGCAAACCCACAGGACTGGTCTTCCCAGATTTACAGATTTTTGTTGGTGGTGGTAATTTCCTTATGTTGAAAGGTTAAATTTTAAAAGATAAAAAGGCAAATAAACAAAAAATCCTATGAACCAAACCAAGTGCCTTGGCCTGCAAACTTTGTTCTATCCTGGGATAACTCTCAAACACCCCTCCAGGCAGCCAAGTGGTCCTCATCTGCTGGCTCCTGACTCAGATTCTGCATCCTCTCTCCCATAACTGCTGGTCCTTACAAAGCTCTCTACGATGCGGGAGTCAGGAGACACTGGACACTGTCTGAGCCTGTGAACCTCACAGACTCTACGCCCTTTCTAGGAAAGGTAGTTTGCCATCTGGGGCCTGGGAAAGGCAGCAAGCTGGCCTTTCCAGACAGGCTGTATAAACTCTCGTTGTAGTCACAAATAATAATAAACACACAAGTGTGTCTCCAAAGGAACCTGTTAGCAGAGCAGCAGTGTGTGCAGGTGGGGTTCAGGCATACTGTCTACCTGTGCAGAGAGAAGTGCCTCAGCCAAGCAGGACACTCCACGGAGAATGCTCCAGGAGAGCACAGGTGGCAAAGTGTACCAAAGGCCCCAGGAGGTCAGAAGTACTCCAGGTAGATCTCAGCTGCACTCAACTCCACATGGCCAGCCTTGTCTTCTACACAATGGGGACTCCAGTGCCCAAGTGGCTGCCTGAGCCCACCTCAAAGCTCCCTGAGACCACAGCCATGGAGACGCAGCTGCCAGCAATGCAGCATCCAGAACCACAGCAAGAAGAGTCTGGGGCTCCAACAGCTTACACAGATAGTTCTACATCTCCCACTCAGGGAGCAAATTCTTTCTTTTTTCAAGACAGGGTCTCCCCCCACCAGGCCTGGAACTTGTTATGCAGAGCAGGCTGGCCTGGACTCACAAAAATTGACCCCTCTCACCAGATGGTGGTGGTGCACGCCTTTGATCCCAGCACTCGGGAGGCAGAGCCAGGTGGATCTCTGTGAGTTCAAGGCCAAACTGATCTACAAAGCGAGATCCAGGACAGGAATCAAAACTACACAGAGAAATCCTGTCTCCAAAAAAAACAAAAACAAACAAACAAACAAATTAACCCTTCTCTGCCTCTTGGAGCACCAGTACTAAAGGAATGTGCTGTACACCACCATGCCTGGCTTCTGGGTCCAATCTGAATTCCTCTGAAGCTCTCTACCACCCATGTCTGTCTGCCCTTTCCTCGAAAGGCTCTCAGTCCTGTCCGCCACTGGGGTGGGCCTGTTATGTCCCTCAACACCTGACAAAAGGTTCTCTTCAGTCCAACACCTGCCCTTGTTCAGAGAAGGAAATCCCACTTACCCCAAAGTTCCAGAGAACACCGATGTACAAAAATGCTACCGCTCAGCCTTACAGAAAGCACTTGACAGAGGGCTCGGCCTGCTCCTTGCGTATAGCAGCTAAAGCAAGTCAGCTGAATTAGTGGCTGAGGCAATGAGAACCAAACCTCTCTACAGCTGGGTAGAAACAAAGAGCCTCAGGTACAGTTACCCAGCAGGCCCTAGATATCAGCCCCAGGGCAATGGCTGTGCCAGTTCTGCTAGCAAAAGTACCTGGTGCTTCAGGCCTAGCAGGAGAGACAAAAGAAAGGCTGTGTGCCTAAGGCCTGGGCCACCAGTCTCAGACACCCCACCCACTGCCTGCCTGCACTGTGCACATGTAACGGAATGTAGACCAGCACAGAATCTATACTCCAAGGCTGTCTGAGAAACCCAGAAAGCCCCAAGGACTAGAAACCATGGTGAGTCTTCCTCTCCCAGGCCTACCGGAGTGCCAGGGGCCCAGAAACCATGTGAGCAGCAGCCGGCGGGGGGTGGCCTCCTTGAGTACGCAGACTTCCTGAGGGAGCATCAAAGCCTGGTTACCTGGGAAGAAGAAGGCAGGCATCAGTGAGGGAGGAAAGGAGAGGAGCATGAAGGAAGGGTCACATATTCTACTCCCACGAGCACCTGGGGCAACAAAGCAAGAGGAGAAAAAAAAAGAATGGGGGACTTAGTACCAGGTATGAGCAGCTGGGGGGTACTACCTAACCCCTAAAGTACACTGTAGACGCCCCATGCCTTTAATCCCAGAGCCTCTAATCCTAGTACTAGGACTAGTAATACTAGTACTCCCAGAGGCAGGCAGGTATCTGCAAGTAAGTTCCAGGTCAGTCTACTCTACATAAGAAGGTTCCAGGGCAGCCATGGAGAGACCCTGTCTCAGAGAGACAGACAGACAGACAGAGACAGAAAAAAAAAAGAAAAGAAAACCCTGGAGGCCATCCTGGGAGGCTAAAGCAAGGTTGGCCATATTTACATAACAAAAGGTCAAACTGGAACCTAGTGGAAGGGCTATTTCTAAGAACCAATCTGCCGCCTTTTCCTTCTCCTCTTGGCAACTCAGTTCATCTGTCTAGTGGCTCACCCCTACAAAACAGTCAACAGCAGCCCCAGGTGAGGGGTGTTCCCACCACCACCACTCTGGGTCCTACGGGATGAGGAATCTTGAGATTCTGGGTCCCTGTTCTCCATACAGAACAGCCTGGTCTCCCCTGGAAGTCAGTAGAAGGAGCCTGCAGCAGCCAGGAACCCATCTCTGCCAGCCCTTCCCCCACACCATCCCTTGGACCATGAGGGCAGGTCCCTCAGGAATGTGACCAGACCTGGGGTGCAGGCCTTAGGCTGGGGCCTCAGTCATTGGCTTCAGGCTGTCAGCTGTCTCTCCTGCCCTCCTAGCAGCTCCCATTTCAGAGTGGGCTCATTATCCCAAAGGCCACAAAACAAAGAACCAGCTCTGGAGTTTAATGAGCTGGTCACCCAAGAGGACAAGGGACAGAAGAGAAGCCGACAAAACTGGCGAGATGGGTGAACAGCCACAGATCCAGGAAACCCATCTTAGCCAGACAGACTCCTACCAAGCAGCCTAAACCTGGCCCTGTTAGCCTTCTGCCACAGCACTTTCCAAATTCAGAAATTATGGGGCCCTCGGTAGAGACCAGGACAGCTACCAGCCGACAGCATGCAGGGAGCGCCTGCATGATCCTTTTGGTGCCCGCCGCCGCCGCCGCCGCCGCCGCCGCCGCCGCCGGGGGTGGGGTGGGTGGGTGATGCCAGCCCTACTGGGAGCTGGCAGTCTGTCCCCACTCAGGTCCTTCCATGGGAGGGCCCTGTAGCCTACAAATCATTGCTCTTTTCTTCCCAACCTGAATGATGATGACTATCGATCCCACCTACTTTCCTTGGAGAGGCCAGTGCCTGGGAGACTGAAGACTGAGAACATGGCTAGATACACCAGCCCATGAAAAGCCAGATACAGACTTAACTAAAATAGGGTGCACATGCGGGCTAACATCCAACAGCTTCTAACAAATAGCAGTGCCTATTAACTAAGGGTAACAAGCCTGGCCCAGGACTGCCAACCTGTAACAATGGCACCTATAGCCACCTGGGACAATGGGGCTGACCACTGATCTCAGAGGACAAGGGAAGGGAAGAGAAAGTCAGCACAGAAACCTCCTATTGTCGAGGAACCTCCAGCTCCAGGCCTCCCCGATTTGGGGGGGGGGGGGGGGGAGCAGCAAGCCTGACCTCTGAAGACAAGGTCCAGCTAGCTCTACTGTAAACACGAATAGAAGAAATAATGCAATTCTGTGTGACCTCCCTGGCCCCCACATTAGATATCAGCATATGGCCTGGATGGAATAGTATGCACCCATTTATCCTTTTTCACTCCTTCTCATCACAGAAAAGTCAGAAGCATGTGCCCCTCCCTGAGGGTAGCCTGTGAGTCCAAAAGGGGGCTAGCATAGTACACATATACCACAGCACAGCAAATACCACACAACTCCCTCCAAGATTTGTTTAAAATGCATTCAATCCAGGATACCACAGCCTAGTAATACTCCACACTATAGGACACTAGTAATTTTACCCTTTAGTCTCAGGACCAAATAATCACTGACCCATGGGATCAAAATTCTAATATTTTGCTGTCTTTCTGACAGGGTTGCGTATATCCCAGGCTGGCTTCCAACTTGCTACAGGCACCAAGATGACCTTCACTCACCTCTATCTCCCAAGAGCTGGGATTACAAGCAACACAAAATCGCCTCAATATTTGACACTTGAACAATTTCTACTAGCTTACTGATTTTGTGCCATACCATTTTAGGAAAAACAAGTCAAACTACATTATTCTTTACATTTTAAACCAGGTGTAATGGCTCAGACCTGTAATCTCAATACTTGGAAGGCTGAAGCACATGTTCTAAACCATCATGGACTTCAGAGTAAGACCTGTCTTAAAAACAAGGGCCAGCCTGGTGCGGTGGCACACTCCTTTAATCCCAGAGTTCAAAGCCAGCCTAATCTACACACAGTGAGTTCCAGGACAGCCAGGGCTATGTAAAAAGAACTGACTGGTTGTCCTCTGACCACCACACACACATAACATACAATGAAAGCACGGACAGATAAATTCCATTTACATCAAGCTCTACAAAAGGCAAAACTGACACAAATTTAGTGCAGGCTTGCACGGGCAGAGTAGCCAGAGCAGTATAGGTCCCTGTCACTCCTGGCTCCTCTGACTCGGGCACTATTGGTGTCTCCAATCAGTGAAAGTCCCAGCCCAGCACAACTCTGCTTCCCTCTCTTCCCGACACACCCACTATCTCAGTGTTCATTCACCCCACTTGCCCAAATGAACACAGCATTTAAAGAGCCAATGAAAACGACGACAGAGCCTGGGTTTCCCGCCCTCACCTGCTGCCTCCTGCCCCTCAGAGTGGAACTCCATTGGGGGAATGACCCACCCTGAGGAAACAGTTACAGTGTCCATTCAGCTTATCTTAAGGACTAGTGAAGGAGGTTTCCTCTGCCCTGTACCCAACAACGGGACAGGAAAGCATTGCTATGGCCCAGACTTTAAAGACTTGAGAAAGATTTTAAGACGAAAGTGATTCTTGGAGAAAGACTCCACTCTATCCCTTCCAAAAAGTGCTGCCCCGAATCAGCCTAAACACCCACCTTGCCTAGTCTCAAGAGGCCGAACACTCAGTGGTGTTCTGTGCCTCCTGTAACTCCCTCTGGACACCAGGCTGGTAGCTCAGCTTCTAGGACAAGAGGACTGCAGGCCCACGGTGAGGCCCAGACTCAGGGTGTGGTTTCAAGCCACATGACACTCCTCACCCTTCTACTCAATGCCTGATCCCCTCAGGCAGGAATGAACCCTCCTGGAGGCATCCGAGGGCACCTGGACTGGAATTCCTCTGCTTCACACCCAGCCAGGAGGCCTGGTGAAAAGGGAAAAGGCAAGGAAAGGGGGCCATCCCACTCAGCCCTCTAGAGAACCTTCTCATCCTACTTTTTCCCTGGCAGCTATACTTCCCCAGAAGTGTGTTTCTGATGAAGTCCTGGGGGATGCTCCTGCCTGATGTATCCCAAGGAGTTTCTTCCACCATCAATCTTCCTGAGTGCCACTACCAGGCGGGGATAAGCTATGAGACCAGGAGCACGGATGAACAAAGCATGGCCAATAGGCAGCTTCTATACCCCAGAGATCTAAGCACATCTGACTAGCTTCAAAGAGGGCCCCAGACATGTTACCACCATCCATAACCTCAATGTGAGAGCAGTCGGTTCACTCTCCATTACCATTACGGTAATCTCATATTCCACATGTGGCTCACCCCAAGCCTGGGCTGTCTGAAAGAGACTAAGCAACTGAGAATCTAGAAGATTCCCAAAGCCTAGGCCAGAACCTAACTATGGGCACAGTCAAACTGAAGATTCCATTTAACCCTGTCCCTGTGCTGGACTCCTCCATGAAACTCTATTCATCCTGGTCTTCCACCACTTCTGCCCAAGTGAGATAGGTTTTCTAGGGGTGGGGGGCTGTGCAGTGACTGGACAGGTCTGAGCAGGTCTGGTCTCAGTGGAGGACCATTATCTCTACCTCCAGGCTGCAGATAAAGTTCATGGGGGTTAAGCAATTTGCCCACAGAAAGAGTACATAGGGAGCAGAGTAAGGATCTAAAACCTGACTTAGAAGGGAGCTGTGGTCAATTTTCTACACTCCCAGGAAGGGCCTCTAACTACAGAGCTGCTTGGGGGAACTCAGGCTCCTTCCCCTCCCACCTCTGGAGGCCTGGAAGCCTAGCTCATTGGCCTTCGGTTCAAATCCAGCGTCACAAAAAATAAACAACCCCCCCACCCCTCGGCCTTGTCTCATGAACTAACTCACGTCGAGGGCATAGGTCTAGCTCCTCTACCAGAAGAAACAAAGTGAAGCTACCATCCAGTATGAACTAGGGCTATGGGGCTTGCTGCCTCTCTTACAATACCCCAGCCAGGTGTGGTAACCTCCTGCCCTTTAGGTTTGGGCTTGGTAGTGAGCGGGGCTCATTTTCTGGGCAAGCGCAGCCAAATAATTTGGCCCAGACCTGGATACTAGCCAGCCACTCCTGGCTCTCTCCCAAGCCATCCTCCTGGAAAGCAATAGGCACTTCAAATGCCAAGAGCTCAGCCCTCCTCTTGCCACAGCTTCTATGAAATGTAACTATCGGGTTCTAAGAACAGAGGTGATATGGTATCAGACACCAGGACTGGACTGGCCTCCTACTCCAACACTAAGACCAGCTCTGTTGCAGAAGGGAGAAGGACACCCACTGCAGCCTATGCCCTTTTCCAAGTCTATCCTGAAATGTTCCAGAACCCTATTAGAGAATGCTGCCTACTCAAAGCTAAGATCTGCATGGACCCTGACAATCTTACCAAGCATGCTGCTCCCAGAAACCCTCACTATTTTTTTTTTTTTTTTTTTTCGAGACAGGGTTTCCCTGTGTAGCTTTGCGCCTTTCCTGGAACTCACTTGGTAGCCCAGG